ATGGCTTTGGGTATATACAATAAGATCCCCATATACCCCATATTCTATCTACTTAGGGGGGACTATAACCCTGGGTAATCATCGCGCCCCAAACTCCAGACCCCAAGATCACGAACCGAACCCAAATTCGAAAGTCAGCCCAAACGAATTGCAACAACTAAATCCTCAGGCTTCAATCCAAAACACTAAACCAAAAAAAGCTTCGATCAAACACCTGAAATCCAAAGCTAAGGCCAAGTCCTGAACTCCCTCTCATGTAGCCCAACAAAACACTGTCCTTTCAATCATAGGAACTCCGCGAAAAGTAGCTCCAACTTCTGGAAACCCCTTGTATCTCCCGATCTACCCCTAGAAACCCCCCTTTTCTAGGATCCATAATCCCCGAACAAAGAGCAACTCCAGAGCCCTCAAAGCCCCTCAAAACCCTAGGGTTTAGGGGTTCAGGGCTTAGGTTCTAGGAACCTAAACCTTCCCGCCTCATCCAGGGTGTAGGCTTCAGGTGGTGTGCAGCTGAAAGCAGCACCCACCATGTCTCCTCATCCTCTCGTTTAAAGAAGTGAAGTGTCGTCCCGGTTTCAGCGTGTAAAAATGACCAGGCCGAAATAAGCCCTAGCCTCGACCTAGATAGCCAGTAGCCTGTAATTGTAGTCTACTTTCCCCTAATTTCCTGCCACCTCGGGTTGTAGTCCCCCCTAAGTATGAAGAATATGGGGTATATGGGGATGTTATGAGAACATACTCAAAGCCATATTCGATCTACCGTTCTCTAAATCCACGAGATCCTCGGGACTTCGAGCGTATTGCTATAAGCCAAGAGTACCCCTTGTCTCAGGGATGTAGCTAGGAACCTTTATGTTGTCCAGGTATGGGCAGTTGGGCTTCGGGCTTACTTAGTATCTCAGCCCTGCAAGGATCGAGACTACGGCCGCAATGCAAGCTTTGTAGTAATGACCCAAGTTCACTGGAACATGAAGTTGCTATAGCAGGCTCATAAGGCCACGCGATTCGAGTTTGCTGCTGGCCGAGCCCAACCAGGTTATGTTAAGTTGCTATACCCAAAGGAGGATACACTCTTACTCTATCTTGAGGGCCACATCATTCCAAGTAGATTACTAATGACAAGGCCTAAATAAAGAGAACAAGGTTTCGGTTTGGGGGTATCGTATGTTATAGACCAAGGGATCATATCGGTCACTACTCAGCCTCCTACAGTACTGACATGGTCATGATATATCCATCCAGAAGCCTTCATTAGGTTTAGGATTTAGGGTTAGGTTTAGGGTTCAGCAAAAAGGTTAGGGTTAGGTTTTTGGTTGATGGTTAGTATGGTTAGGTTTAGGGTTTAGGTTGGATTCCTCGGGCACACCCCAAATAGGACAGACCCACTAAGAAGGACTTCTGCGGATGGGTTTGATGGGTTACTGCGGGTCAACCCAAGGGGGTCTTAGAGGATCCGTCGAAAGGGTTTTTTTTTGGGGCCTCTTTGATCTACCTACCTGACTTATGGGGAGACCGGTTTACCTCTGACCCAGCCAATACGACAACGCTAGTCATCCCAAGTATTGACTTACTGAACCCCCTGATAAAGTACATGTGAATTTTGCGAACCTCCAGTGCTCAGACCAGCTCATGGAACCCCAAAGGGAGCTCTAGGGACTATAGGGTGTATGTTGTGTTTAGGGCTTATACTACGCAAAAAAAAAAATGAACCCCAAACTAGGCACAGTTTTGAACGCACGGTCAGTAGCACAGAGTCTACGTTAATTTCAGGCTCCAAAGGTACACTTGCGTCCTGTTGCTCAATGACCAAAGTCAAAGGCTGGTGTACCTCATCACCATGCGATTTTTGTGAATCGACAGTTCTTAGACCAGCTGAAACATGGAGCCCATAAGGAAGCTTTAGGGACTACAGGGTGTATTATGGGTGAAAGAAAGGCTTACACAGTGCAAACAGGCATGAACTCAACATAGGCACAGTTTTGAATGCACAGTCAGTAGTACAAAGTCTATGTTAGGTTCAAGAACGGGCTCCAAAGGTACACTTGCGTCCTGTTGCTCAATGACCAAAGTCAAAGGCTGTTGTACCTCATCACCACGGAGTCAGGGGGCCGCATGCGCCACTGTTGATAACAAGAATTCTGCATGACCCTAAGTAGCCTAAACCGTGGGAATTGTGGAGCTCAGTATCAGTTGGTCGTGCTTGTCATGCAAGAGCCCTGAAAGGAAGGCAGTTTACGCTCAGCCGTGTGGAGCCACGGGTTCGCAGTTTAGTGGGTCAAGGGCTCAGGAAACAAGAGTTCAAGAAAACACCCCCCCCCCCATATTCTCTTCCCAAGCGGAAATGACCCAGAAGGGTCACCTGCATTAAGCTGAGGAATTACCGGTGCACCAAAGCAAAATTCCAGACCCTGCCGTTTGGACTGAGTAAGGAAACATGATTCCTCGAGAGATATTCTAGGTCCCTTTTCAGAGCCGCTATTGCCAACAATAGGACGCTGCTTTGAGGGGTCCTGATGGAGGGGAACTTCGGCCTGAAGAAGTAGAACAGGGTTTAGGGATTTGGGGTTTATTATACTATACTCAGGACACCTTGTGTACTGGGAGGACCTATTTGATAACAAGGGGGGGAGGGGCTGCTTGTTATGGGGCATCAATGAAAGGATGATGCTCAACCCAAAGCCGCACACCACTCTGGGGCCCCTCCCCCAACACACTGTTGACGGAGGCAAGCTTGCACCACTTGGGGCCCTAATTTACTGTGCTTCATCAACAGCTTTATGTGGAGAGGAGGAGCGGGAAGGGATAGCCAAATTGGATGGAAGCTTCTCAAAAAACACATAACCTTCATTACAATCTTTTCTTTGTAATCCCGTAATCCCTACGTATCCCTCAGGTCACTACCAGCCACTTCCTTTGTAGTCTATACATCCTTATAACCCCTTGAAGAGAGGAAAAGATTCGCTGTGCAAAAGGTAGGGGCCTAAATTATGAGAATAGGGCTTTGGGAGCATGATACTTTGGTTCCATAGGGATTGTTTGGGGATGACTTGCTGATCATGTTGGCTTGTAGCCTTAGCATAGCCAAAAAAACTGGGTTGCTAAGTTTTGCCCGCCGCCACTCAAAAAAACATGATTGAACTAGGATTATAGAAAACCCAAAAGGTTGAAGGGACACCCGCTCCAAAACAGGTGAACATTTTAAGTACAATGCGAATATTATAGTAGATCCCCAAACCCCAAACCCTAAACCGCTCCATCTCTACGATAAGGCAAGACACGGCGGCAAGTTTGTCACGGGTCTCAGGGTTGGCGAGTTGGTCGCCGCCCGTCCACATGTTCTCCTTAGATGCTACACACACGGTTTAGGGCTCAGGGTGTTTGTTTTAGAGTTCACTTAAGTAGACTGAATATAGGGTATATGCAGGTCTTCTTGTGATTTCACATGCTGTCTACTTGACGAGGGACTATACTTGGAGGGGCTGGGAGGGCTTCGTGTAGACTTACTGAATCCTCCTGACCTTCCCAGATGCCAGGTGGACCCTAAAGCCAAAACTTCAGAGGCTGAAACCTTGTCGCTACTTGTCAGGTCAGGGCGACTAGGTGAATAACAGGCATGCCTGGGGTTGCTATATGGCTTGTAGCAGTTAAGGGCTTTAGGGTGTAGGGGGGTTGCAATATGGCTTGTAGGGGTTCTTCTTTACCAAGTCTCCCTGACCCTGGAAGTAGCTTCTGGCAATGACGTACTGGAATAAAGGAATATGGGTTCTAGGGGCTATCTCTTGTCATAGCAAGGACTACTACAGGGATCCAATCCTCTATTCCCTAACAACCACCGAGAAAAATGAAAGGGCCTAGCACTTGGGCCTTCTTGGCTGCCTCACAGGGCATGCAGTATGTTTTCCCCCTTCGGACTTACGCAATATATCCAGGGTTCAGGGCTTAAGGGGTAGGGAAACAGTACACTTTAATATAGACCCTAAATGAGAATAGGATCATTGACATTGCTGATTCTTGGGGACCCTGCGGAAGCACAGGACCTTTGATGGTCAAGAATTACGCTGCGGTACAGGCCTGGTCTCGCACCAAGATTGGAAAAAGTAGTTATCGTCAATACGACTATGGTCCTAGCTTGCTGCAACTCCATATGTTGCCGATTTCTTGCCAGCAGCACTGAGGATTTGGGGGTTTGCAATGATGAATTTTATTGCTATTATTATCACCGTTTTTATTATTACTACTTTTTTACCGATCAATGTGCTCTTTGCTCATGCATGGGAGGACAATGGAGGACAGAACCCTGAGCCTTGGCAGTCGCACGATAGGCTTGATCTTCCCAATGAGACAGAACGGCAATGGCCCCGGGGAGCCCCCTGGGTTTAGGGTTTAGGATTTAGGGGTTAGGGTGAAGGGTCTAAAGTCCTAATATACACCTTAATAACCCCTATAATAGTCCTCCATATCATCATCTATAGAACCCCTTTAAGGAGTTTAGACTACAGCTCAGATTGGCCCGGGGAGCCCGAAACCCTTTAAGTACGGAGTACTCCCTAAAAGCATATTGGGGATCCTCATACGATTTAAGGTATATTTACTTGAGGCATATTCGGCCTGGCCCTGGAAAAGCTCGAATTCAAAAAATTGCCACACACTAAGGAGATGAAATCTTGTAAGGATATAGTGCAAAGGATTATATAGGGTTATATGGGGTTCTATGGAGCTTATGTGGAGTACGTATGGCAATATATATATATACACACATATATATATATAAGTTGCGTGGACGCTTGCACAAAGCATTTCTCCTGCGTGTAAGCAATGCCTCGGAAAGCCTCAGAGCTCTCCGTCAGCATGCTGTACAAGTTCACGCTTTCAGGCCTCCTACAGTGGATACGAAAAATCCTTCATGACTCGAAGTACCTTATACCTTGGGAACTATGGTATTATAGTGCACTAGGACGATTTTGACTATACGGACTACTGTTGGGGTGGTTCATTTTCTGCTAAGCACCAGGTAGGCATGGCCTATGCCATATAAGAGAGCACGCCAGGGCAGTAGAGTTTTTGCGAGCCTGTCGATACTTCCAATAGTGCTCCGAAGAAAACTTGTTGATCACGCTGCTCATGGCATACCAGTAGCCAGTGAGATTATTCAGCCTCTTGGTAAAGATCTCGAAATCCACTTTGCTGTAGCCCTTGTGGACCTTGAACGGTGCAAGCAGCGGACCGAAGTGCGGATCCACAGCCAGGAGCTGGTAGCAAAAGGCATTCAGCGGCCCAACGAATGATGAGCGCCCGTGCACAGAGAAGGGCGGACAGAATTTGGCGAAGTCATAATCTTGGCTGCCCGCTACATAGTTTTGGTAAGTGAATATGAAGGAACTGAACCACAAAACATGGCGGATATCCGCTATACAGAAAGAGCATACCGAAGAAGAAATAGGAACAAAGGAGCTCTGTTGCATCCATTTTCCTCAGCTTCATGGAGGTCGTTACGGCAGAGCCTGTGACGTGTTGCATTCTGGTCGACAGCAGCGTTGGCTGACTGAAGAATCCTGCGCTCTACTTGCTTCGAATGTAGAGAGCACTACCATCCTCCTTAATCCTGCAAGTACATAACAGTTCCATACCCAGGGAGCCTGGTACCCCTTAATTGAAGAAAATACCTTGAAGCTTAGTCGGGATCCTGGTATCCTTCAAGGAAATAGTCCTTAATCAAGGGGTATTAGGCTCCCGGGCTTCTTGGTCCTATAGGTAAGATATAACGGCCACCTCAGACCGTCTTATCTACATTTGAGCTATAGTCTCAACTCCTAGTACCCCTTAATAAGCCCTATACTTGCAGTCCTATGTAAACCATCATGTAACTCCCTTGAAAGGAGTGAAAACGTAAAAAAGGCTCATCTGACTTGCGATCCTGTATATGCCAGCAAGGGGTTGAAGATGCCCCAGCGCAGAGGAAGCGTGGCACGGGACCCTGTGATGGCAAGCTCGACTTCGCCGAGGACGTAGTTCAGGATTTCCTTCGACAAATTTGACGGTTCCCGGACTGATTTTGATAACCACAACGCAAAACGAAGACCCTTGCAGTCAAAGTCATCTAAATATAATGAGGCTAATTTCCTCCCCCTAAGCTGAAGCCCACCCCGCTAATATCAAATCTTCCAATTGTGTTTTATCATAATATATTGGGAAAAATTTGGTACTAGAGGGGTGGGGGCTTTAACATTAGGGTAGTTCCCGAAATTAGGATCCCTTTTTGATATCATTGAACAGCAGGTGCCGCAATGTAGCCTATAACCATCAAAAGGGGCCACAATGTTAAGAACAAGCCTAAACCCTAAATTCTAAACCCTAAACCTAGACGGGGATTACAAAGGAACCCGGCGGTCTGTCCTTTTCAGGGGGGCCCTTTGGGGGTCTACCTGTTTCAAGGCTGTGTGGCTCTCTTAGCAAGATTGTAGCCCTTAGGGTTTTAAGGTCTTAGGCTTGAAGGGTTTTGGGGCTTTAGAGGGGGAACTGTTAATTCCTGTGATTCAATGAGGTCTTGGGGGCATTTGAGTACAGGATCCGAGATCTGGCCCAACACGGCTTGCGTGATGCAACAGGTTCCAACAAGAATCTTTCAGCGTCTACCTAGACCCTCCAATGTAGTACCTTTTGGGTAGTCCTAAGAGTCCTAACCAAAAAACCATACCACACCCAAAAAAAACTACATTGGAGGGTCCAGGTAGGGCTTGTTTCCCAGAACTCTAAGCCCTAAAGCCCTAACCCCATATCCCCTGTGCTTCCACCACAGGACCCGTGTCCTGCCCGTTGTCCACCGAGCACCCTGCTGCATCGAAGACATCCTTGCGTGGCTTGGTGTTTGAAAGGTGGGAAACAAGTTCAACATCTAGAGTAACCCTTAAGTAGATAGGTACATGGGGATCTAACTACAGCTTAGGGGAATTCCGTAGTCTATCTACATAAGGTGTACTACAAATTGGTGTCATGCCAAACAAGGGTTAAAAAGCGTGTGGGCAGCTGCTAGAATCATGCTCGCAAGTCGGGGCTTCCTATCTACGCTGAACTGCTGTGGGATAGATAGGTAGGAGTCACACAATTGGTGCACGCATTCTGTTGATTGCAAGGCTATGGGTTGGGTCATCTCCCTCGCCGTAATTAACAGCCACCAGAAGAGGTAACCGGACCTATGCTGGCCCCTCCGTAACACCCTGTCAGGACAGTTAGTATGAGGGAAATGGGCCAACTTATGGGGTCGATGGCTTGTCTGGTAAAGCCCTTCTAGCCGAAGGAGAAAACATTCGTTTTGCAGCTAGACCTCCCCAAAAGTGTAAAGCAGATTCCTGAACGCAAAATCAAGGTATTCCCGATGTGAATACCAGTTTCCGGTTCATGCTCCAATCTCTTTTCCATTTCATTCCCCGTTATCTAATGCATTCCTAACGTTGACCCAGCTCAGCCTAAACCCTACATCCTAGGCCCTAGACCTTGAACTTGAACCCCAAACCCGACACCCTAAATCCTAAGCCCTAAACCTAAACCCTTTTGCCAGAACTTGAACCCTAAAAGCCAAACCCTAAATCCTAAGCCCTAGACTTTGAAACCCTAAAACCCAGAACCAGGCAACCTAGCATCTTGACTCTGATGCACCGCCAGCTCGGACAAGATCCGAGCCAGGTTTCCGCCGCCAGAAGCTCGAGAGGCGCTGATGCCGGAATTAACCTACAGGATTATTGGGGTGATATAGGCATAATTATGTAAAAGAAAATGGAAGCGACTGCAGTATTGTAGAGTATATGTGGGGTTTAGTGCGGATAGGGGAATATTCTATAAAGCTTGTATAGGGATTATATTCCGATATTTCCAACTAAGAAGCAGAAATCTTAGGTGCTAGAAAAAACGTGTTAAAGGTTCTATGCGGACGATGTAGGGTTCGCACAGGGAAGCAATTGAATCCAAAAGAACATTGAATTCACTTTTTTGACTTAGGGATTAGGAATGCAGACTCAAATAGAAAAGAACGCGGACATTTGGACTGCGGATACTGGGAACTGTAGGATAATACCTAGCTTTTCTCAACAACTTGGGCTTTTCCGGGGGCCTGCGAAAGGTACACTTACGAGAGCTTCACAAAAGGTAGTGGCCCTTCTGTGTCCAAGAGTAGAGGCTACAGTAATTCGGGGCCTTCTGCAAATGTCTGCCCTCGAAGCCCGGGGGGCGCTGAGTGAAGCAAACGTCCGCTGCCCGAGGTCCCGTGACGCACTCCTGCACTCAGCCCCTCATCCCGGGCCCTGCAGCAAAAGCAGCTCCACTCACTATGTTGCTTGCAACAAGTACTTGGACTGCCATGACCCAGGAAATTGACATCGCCCTAAATCCTGTCAAACTCCCCAAGCCCTAAACCTGAATCTCGATAGCCTGCGCACGCTCCCTAAGCCTTGGACCCTAGGCGAACGGCGAACATGAACTCCGTATCATCTCAATAACTCTCGCCCTCTCTCTGGCTCCTCCCTGTCCCTCTTCTTCTTCTTCTATAGGCTATGCAGCATCAAAGATGCTGCGCGGGCGAACCCCCAGCCTCCCTGTCCCTCTCTCTCCCTCTCTCTCTCTATAATCTGCATTCCCTCTCCAACACACGGGGATCATAGTGCTCATCTCACAAACTCTCTCCCTGTCTCTCTCTGTGTCTCTCCCCCTGCGTCATATTCATACCAGATAGCGGGATTTTGGTTATCCCAAAGCATCAAAAACGACCCCATAACTATCATAGGACATTTACACGGCCCTCATTACAGGGATCGGGGCTACCAAAATCTTTTTATGCACACCAGCAGGCTCCTCCATGGTCCGTACCCAGCCAGGGAAGACAATCACGTCCAAGTCGGAGAAGATCCTGAGGTCCAAGATGGGCTGGAAGCAGTGGCCTCTTTATTTGGGCCGTTTCGTATGTCTTGAAATATGCGATAAAACTTCTGGGGTTAGGTCAAAGCCTAAGCTTTACGGCTTGAGGTTTGGTTGTAGCCTGTGGCGTTGTGAACAAAGCCATGCGCTAAACAGCATGATGATAAAGCAGCAATAAAGCTCTAAGTCCCCACATGCCGAGGCCCTGCTTCAAAAAAGGCACAGTCTTGCGCAATGATGTGCGTGGAATCACTAACTCAGACGCATGGCTTCGTGGGGCGAAGGTGGCGACCACTTCAGCTTCCAGCAGAAGCATCAGCTTGGGAAATACATGGTCCTTGATGCTGCCTTTCAACATCTTGAAGCCTGGGGCTTTGTCAAAATACCGTATACCATCCCAAACCTTGCACTAAGGAGACGTGGAGATTCCATGAAGAGAGGGCCCCACTACGGACCCCAAGAAAGTACAATCCTTACTATAGGGACCTAAAAGGCACCCCTAATTTCCGGAAACCGGGCTGAAAAGGCAACCCTAAAAACTAAACGCCCCCTAAACCCTACCTAGACCCCCCAATGTTGTACCTTCTTGAAACCAAAAAACCATACCAAACCAGAAAGGAACTACATTGGAGGATCCAGGTAAACCCTACACCCTGCGCCGCCGCCTGGCACACTGGTGTCCTTACGGTCGGGCATCCACAGCACGCACGCTCGAACCGGATCCCCCACTCTTTGCAAGCTCCTCTTGGAGGGTCAGGGGACTTAGTAATATTGGAAAAGAAAAATGGGAAATGATACTATATTATTCAAGGTAGGTTTAGGGTGTAGGGTCAGGGGGGACTTAGTAAGTATGGTAAGGTAATAGAGGAATGGAAAAGAAAATGGGGAATACTATGCATGACTATATATTCTGTAGGTTTTAGGATTAGTAACCCAATTTACTGGCACTATGAACCTGTTTACTAAGTACCCCTGGCCCTCCAAGCCCCTCACAGAAGACCACTGCGGAGAAGAATAGCTCTCCCAGACTCCGCCAGAAGACCCCTGTACCTATAGTCTCCCTTAAGTAAATAGAATATGGCTTTGGGCATATCATGATAAGAACCCCATCTACCCCCATATTCTATCTACTTAAGGGGGGACTATATACCTTCTTGGAGTTCTAAAAAAGTATGGAAAGCTCATGGAAGACATACCACCTTGAGCCTTGGGCTTTCTGCCGCTTGTTTGAATAGCTTTAGGGTGTTACATGCCAGTTTGACTGGAGAACTCTCTAAGGTTTAGGGGTTTAGGGTCAGGGTTTAGGGAACCCCCCCCCCGCCTCAGGAAGCGTTGAAGTAAGTAATCGAAACTGGGCGATGCTTGCATCCACAAACTCGGCACGTCCCCGCGACGCTCGTGGGCGCTGATCTCATAGACTTCAGGCAAACTGTGCAGCAAGTGATCCTTCATGCGTCTCCTTGGCCCCACAGAACACTGACGTAAAAAAGTGTGTTAGACAACGCAAGATCCTCGGTAATTAGAATAACTCCTAGGAGGTGGAACATCCAGGAGTTATATGCGGACCATGTGGGAACACTCTTCATACACAACTCGTATGCAGTTTCCAAGAA